TATAATAAAACGGAGATCAATATTTGCATTCAATGTTACCCAAGATTGAAATAAATAGAAATTTATCACAGGCAATCCATAAACTGTTTTCAACATTCTGGTCCACATTACCCGCCAAGTTATTTACTTCGTAGTTTTTTAATATAAAAAAAAAAAACAAAATTGAAGAGGTTCATAATGGAACAGTGAGCAAATGATTAAAAACCGTTATATTTAAATGAATTAGACGCCGGTTTCCAACAACAAAAATTTAATATGAAAGAACTTGAAACAGTTTAATAGCGGAAAGAAAATCGATCTTTTTACTTTTTTTCCACAGTATATGAAAAAGTCCTGATTAGGGGAAATATGTTCCTCCGATTTTAAAATCTTCTTAATATTGGATTACATGAATATGACAAATTTCGCATATTCTTCAAGAATGTATGGATTAGCAATTTCTGTTATTGGATTCCTATTAATAATGCCATATTTACATCGAACGTGCTTTATGGTTAATTGTATTTGTTTAAATAATATTGGCATAACATGAATAATTCCTATATTTTGCAGTTGTGTGAATAGTGCCATGATTGGTTATAAATAACGGTATATTTAGTGAAAATTTCATGTGTCCAAATGACATGAACAGCATTATATGAAACAAATCTTTATAGATCATTGAAATTTCTATCATCGTAATAATTTTTATTATTCATCGCGCCTCAACAGTTTTTCAAAATATTAAATAAAAAAAAAACACCCCCGAATTGAACTTGGTATGGTATCTTGGTTCAAGGCGTTACATTTTTAGAATAAATATTGTTTAAAAAATATAAATTGTTTTTCATTAAAATTATGTTATGAGAAATCTAGAAGGTTTTGTTGTAATTCCGTAACCGGTTCATACAATACAATTATATATAAGGAGAAATATGTTCGTGGCATGAATGAATAAGTGGCACACTCTTGTGACACACTCTTGCATAGGGTTACCAAGCTATTATCTAATTACAGAAATTTCCCACCAAATAACTAATGTGTTCAAAAGTTTAAATGTTTTGACATTGAAAAGATGTATTTTCCAGTGATTACATTTAAATTGAATAAAAGTTTTTTTTTTTTTTTTTTGAAAATTATCATATATTTGTATGTTATGTGTGAGACATATCTATATGAAGCACTGAAAAAAAACATGTTCAGAAGTAGATTTGCTTTCAAAGCTAACAATCATTGCTACGGAATATATGTTGTCTGAGAACTCTATAAAGGACAAATCGCAGTAAATTCCATTGGAAAATCTTTAGATTAACGTACGTTTAGATTTACGAATTTCACTCTAGAATGTCGACTATTTGAGGATTGAAAAATAGGATTTCCATCAAATATACCCTATGAAATTGACATTTAAATCAAGCCCTTATACTCCGATTCCATATAAAACTTCGATGCAAAATTTCGCCACCACAGACACGGAAATGCTAAATCGACCTTTTAGGCAGATCAAGAGTATATACCTCGAAATAATCCTTTTTGACCCAGAAAATTCCTTGATTCCGCCTTTTTATTGTTTAATTGGTATCTAATGTCCTTTTATAGTTATTCAGTGCCCTATGCAAGTTTTTTATATATCTGAATCGATTCTTACAAATTTCAATAGGGATCATCCTCAGTCCAATAGAATGAGAGGTGTCAGGATCCATCGCAATTGTAAATAAAATCCACACATTTTTACAAAAATGCATGCACAGACAGAGATCGATCGGATCGACGGACATGCTTAATGCGACTCAGTATGTGTATCTTCAAAAGTAACTATCAGCCTACTTTGTTTCCTCCTGCTTGTTAGAAACATATGCCCAAAACCATAATACCCTGCAATACAGTGTGTTGTAGCCTATAAAACATCTGATCAAAATTGCTTCCTTTTTTATTTTCGCAAATTTGACGATTTTTTTATACAAATTCCTACGAAATGTGTGTTGTACATTAAATGTTTCTGGCAACCATTTATATTGCCAATATAAGTGATAATATGTGAAAACGGCTGATTAACTGCAAATAAATGTTGATTATTTATTTCTTTTTTTTTGCGTTCTTAAGAGACTTTTAATGTATTTTTATTTGAAACCCCTTATTAAATTACAAATACTCGGTAACACCGTACGAATGAGAATATTTTTCCTTAGCTTAATTCTATAGTCATGTACGTAAGTGCTAGTTTACGAACATGTCGATAAAAATTCTAAACGATAAACTAAATCATTGCAGTCGTCACAGTTCAAGTTCAATTTTTTTGTTAACAAGTAAGTCATGTTTATTTTTATATTGTATCAATAGAATGATTTCAAAGTTCTGTGGAGATATGTTCGTAACTGCAGTATACACATATTTTTATTTGATTTATAAAATAAACTTCTGGGGCACTTTGATCGTATCCGATCCTCCGTGGAAATTTCTGTAGAATCTAAAGGAATAAGAAATGATATTTAAGTGATTTCTTATTCCCACCATTTAAAATTTGCATGTCATAGGAGACTTTGGGTGGTGGCAAATTCCTTATGGGGATGAAAGCCCCTGGAGAATATTTTTTGAAACCAAAGAAAAACATTCGCCATAGGTAAATTTGTTGAGTTATGGTCTGGTGAATTTGTTGCTCGTAACTATAATGTTCAAGAAGAAAAAAGCTTTAATTCGTTGACTGCTGCTATTACAGACCACATGTCACATGCCATATCGATAGAGAAATATTTTTGAAAATCATATCATCCTTCCATCTGGAGTCCTTTTCATCCTTATTTTCTTGAACTGTCATCTAAATACCAAAATAATAAATTTATTCATCTTCAAATATTCCACAGAAACGTCGCTCCTAAGATTTTAGATGTGGTTCCCATCGTTTTTTTTCCTGTTTTACCCGATCCCTGCTCAGAAACCCCTATATCTACGAACACTCAAAATGTTCAAATAAATTTTACGTTATGAAGAAACGCCGGATTCGTCTAAAATGTCTACCATAAATACATCACATTGTGCTAATTACTTCAAAAGATTAAAGTATAATTTGATCATTAAAGTTGCCAACAAAAATTTCACCAAGCTATACTTTAAAAAATTGACCTATGGCAAATTTTCCCTTCTGGGATCTTAATATACTTGTCAAGTGCTTTCATCCCCATGAGGAATTTTCACCCCCAGATCATGACTTCGATTTTGTGTCATAGTGCAATTCATAATTTATGTTTTTTATGTCTAGCCTAACGACACTGGATTTTCGTCGATTTTTTTTTTTTTTTTTTTTGAAATTCTCAAATTTTAGAAAGTGTAGACATAGGAATTTTATGGAAATTTGCCTTCTGGATACTTTGGTATTTAAAACAAGGTTCTGGTTATTACGATACGTTCATGCGTAGTTTGTCATGGAGAAAGCAAATCTTAACAACACTTTTTTTAATAACAAAATAGCAAGGGACATTTTTTTTTTGTTTTCAGAAATTAATATTGATTGATTAATATTTCGTTTTGCCATTCCATTCATAAAACAAACCGACAATTTACAAATTATCTCACAATATAAAAAAATAAATATGTACACTTTTGGATAAAACAAACATGTACGTTCATTCATACATCGTTTCTAGAAATTTACAAGCAAGCATCTAAATTCCCAAACAAATACAAATATCACGGAACTGATGTGCTTATCAAAAAACTTCTATAAAATGCATTCATATTTCTATTAAAGCGGCTGCGACTTTATTTTTTTTATTTATTACTTAGATTTCAATTACAAGCAATTTGCATTATATCCGCCAATGGTGACTAATGCCACAAGCACTATTACAATTGTTCACACACCTGTCACCGCAGTGTATTATATCGAAAGCAATCGTAACCGGCGACCAAACATGTACGGCTAAATCGTTTCTTATTTATTTTTTTTTTTAATAAACAAATTGCCAAAATATTATTAGTTATTATCTTTCGAAATACGGAAACACATAGTCAGTCCACTTGCAACGTACGTACACACAACTGCCGGTGCGGTTGTATAGCCAACCAGCCAGCTTAACTTGCTTAGACACCGTCTTCGCTACTGATTTCAACTACAGCCGCGGATTCATTCAGAAGCCGAGATTTGTTTAACTTTCAGCGACAATGACTCTCATTGTATAATACCTCTCACAAATCTCCATATTTTTAGTTTGTTCGAAAAAAAAACGTTGACTTAGAATCATTTGCGGGTGTCAGGCGGGCAAACGAACGGCAATGTAAACGCACAATATCAGGCATTGTCAATTTAATAAATTATAAGAGTATCAAAAGTAATTGTTATAAGTGGGTACATACATAGTAGGTGTATGTACATTAGGCCGAACCAAACAAGTTTCAATTGTATGTAGTTTTCTTAGCATATGCATGTGCAGAACATTTTCAATATTGATCTAGATGTGGATTCCTTTATCCCTAGGATTTTTATCCCACCTTTATATAGTTAGTCTGGATAGAAAAATTCGACTAGGACCTTCAATTATATCATAAGGGTAGCAGCGATGTATGTGTAAAAACTCAAAACTATCTTTAATTTTGCGAGCTCCACCGTAATATCATAAGACAGATATACAAACATGTTCAAATCGAAACAGAATTCTATCTTCTATAAAAGATGTTTTGCTCTTTTATAAAAAAATTAAAAACTTATTATAGCCTCCACGATCAGGTGGACTTGCAAATTATCCAATAGCGAATAATGTGTGTTACCGTTATATGCGGATTTCCCCATACTACTTTATAAAAATCCAAAATATAAAGTTAAAGACAATTTGTGATTTTAAAAATCTGACGAAAAGACGTACATCCCTAAATCAAATATTTTTTTTACATTTAATTTGCATTTTATTGACTTGGTTTTATATTATAATTTCTTTATATGTAATGATAATGTCTATTCAAGTCAGTATTGATTAATTTGGAGGTTACATTTCGATATTTGTGTCCCGTATCTAAACAAATATTTTCGATTAGACAACCCGTACAGATTTCGTATCTCTAATATAGCCCTCGAAATTTTTGTCATCTTCAATAGAGGGATCAAATTCGTTGATATAATTTGTTAGAATTGGATTATCTAACATGGTGGTGTGATTACCCTCGATGACCTTTACGACAACCTTCTCAGTGGTGATGCTCTGCAAACAGTAGTCCTCATCGATGTCCTGCAATGATACTTCGGCTGGCCGTATAAGTGCAATTGGCGTATTCAGTTTCTCAATGGATGCCAAGTCATAATTGGCAGCCATGCGAATGCGTCGGAACATGGCATGGACAATTATCTCCGAGTACTCCTTGGAGTATATGTCTTGTTTTTCGACATACTGCATGAATTTTTCCATCTTTTGTTCCAATGTTGGCAGTAGATGGAACTCAACACCGATCGATTCTTTGAGCGTATCTGGGAAAATTTGAGCTATTATTCTGGAGAATAGGTAATCGTAAACTTCCATATCGGAAAAGTTTTCACCAATATGCAGACGTGTCAATTTGGTAAGGAAATGCGGGGCGCCATCTATCAACATTAATTTACCGCGGAAGCCCGCCTTTTCCAACAAGACAGTCAATTTCAGTGCCACATAGGATCCAAACGAATATGCAACCATGTAGAATGGTTCATTGACCTTCAGAACCGGTTTGATGTGGTCAAAGGCGGCCTCGGCTATTTCGTCCACGGTTGTCATTTCGGCAAAGCTGTGTAGTTGCAGGAGCAGTGCTCTTGTTTTCAGGTCACTGGCAATCTTGTACCATGAAATGCCCGCAGTGCCCTCCAGGCCAGGTATTATAATACATGGTGGCATTTGAAGTCTCGTAGCATCGGCCGCTGTTTCCAAAGACAATGTGACTTTGTCGCAGTGCGATTCGTCGCCCAAGTTTCGTAGCAAAAGTTCAATTCCAGAATTTTGACTGTCCGACGTGAATATCATTTTCACAGTTTCAGTGTCCTCGCGCTTGCGAGCTTCTTCGAATTCAGCCAATTTCTGGAAGGTCAGGGATCTTAAGTCCTGCGGTGTCAACACCAAATCGAAGTCACGTTCCAGAGTTTGTTTTATTTCAACGGCCATAAGTGAATCCATACCCATCTCCGATAGTGTGGTGCCCATGGAAACGGATTTTATGTCTCGAATACCCATTATGTTCATGACTGTTTCAAGTATGTTCTCACCACCCGATCGACCAACCCTCTTTTCAGCTACCACCATGCTCGACACAATGGCATCGGGTGCACTTAGTAGCGTATCCAATTCTTGTAAGCATGACGAGATACGTTGTTGCAGTGTACCTCCGATTTCCATGTCAATCTTATCTTCGGCCATGTCTGCGACCAAGCCGACCTCTCCCACTGCGCCCCACTGTATAGCCTTGCCCGGATAGCCGTCATCAACACGCTTTTCAATTATTCTTTCCATAACCGAGTTAGCCATGCCGTAATTGGTCTGTCCGGCATTGCCCCGACCGCAGGACACACTGGAGAAAACTACAAAGTGTTCGAGATTAGGACACCGTTTTCGTGAAAGTTCATCCAAGTATTTGGTCGCCATTGCCTTGGGTCCAAAGGATTCCGCAAACATTTCTTTGGTTTGATTTTCAAAAATTCCATCGCGCAATACCACAGCCAAGTTGAAAATACCACCGACAGGTCCTAATTTTTCAGCTTCCGAAAGCAACTTCACACATCCCTCATAAGTTGTTATATCTGCGGTATTAACACAGACTTCACATCCATATGTCTTCCATAAACTAAAAATGTGGAGAAATGGGAAATCTTGTTCATAGGTCGTTTCAAGTTGTACGAGGTGTATACATACGCAATTCTGTAAGACTGATAGTCCTTGCTTAATCCATTTCGTGAACTCAATACTATTTTCTTGGCACCACGTGTCGCCATCCAATCTGCCAACTCAAGTCCAAAACCTCCTAGACCACCAGGAATGATGTAGCTAAGGTCAGGCTTGAAATAAACCTGCTTCAGCACTTTGACGGGCAGGGTATACTCGGACTCTGGATCTTCTCGAACTTGAACCAACACTTTACCGATATGTTTGCCACCAACCATATAACGGAATGCTTGCTCAATTTCGTGCGCCTGGAAAACTGTGGCGGGTAGGGGTTGAATGATACCATTGGCAATGTCCGTATCCATTAGGTGTTTCAAATGCTACGAGTAAATATCGGATAATTTTGCATCCACGCATATGGACTTATAACGGATACTTACGGCAATTTCTTCGTCCGAAGCGTACAACAAACGATCTGCCAAAACAGCATGGAAGGTCAGTTCCTTGAGGAAACAGCTCATACCTAATTTACTGTCGTTGGCCATATCGAATTTGCCAATCTCCAAGAAATGGCCACATTGTCCCAAACAACGGACAGATGCTAACAGCTTATCTTCAGAAAGGGAATTCAGAACAAAGTCCACACCCTTGCCATTCGTTTCACGTTGGATCATTTCCTCAAAGGAAGTGTCACGAGAGTTGCCAATGTGAGATTCTGCAAAATGTAGAAGGTGGTGGTTGAGTAATGGGGGGCTAAACCTGGGACTTCTGTAAATTACCTTTTAGTTGGGGGAATGTGTCCAATAGGAATTTCTTTTTCTGCGGTGTACTACATGTGGTGAATACCTCGAGGTTATAGGCCAATGCGACGCGTATAGCCGCTAAGCCTATGCCACCCGTACCGGCATGAATCAATATACTCTTGCCCTTTCTGATGTCAGTCGCCATGAAGAAGGCATAGTAAACGGTAATGTAGACCACGGGGACAGTGGCGGCATCTTTCATCGACCATTGAGGCGGAACTTCCCATATTAGCTTGGACGGTTTATCCACATAAGACGCCACACCACCCTTCACAACCATACTCATTATACGTTTCCCGGTCTTGTTGTGTATTCCGGAATATTCGAAACCCAGCACACAGCTTTGATTTAAGCGGTCAGCACCGTATAGTTCCACAGCCAGGCGACCCGTGGCAAGCATGACATCACGGAAATTAATTGACGAATAGGAGATCTTAATTTCAGAATCGGCAGGATTGAGGGGACCCTCGAACCATCTCAAAGACGACAAATCACCTCGTTGAATCACATTACCGAATATGTGGTCCTTTCTGGGTCCCGCTACTTCATTCAAGCTAAGTTGAAGATGCCTATAGGTACCCCATTTACCCTACATTGCGAAAACGCAATTCAGTATCAGTAGTAGTACACTATGGAAAATAAAGTCAATACTTACATGACGATACACATTTACAGCCAATCCCAATGCGTACTGATTGGCATAGAAGGGATCCGAAAGACTAAATTCAGGCGCATTCTCATCATCCACAAAGAAACACGTGACTATGGAGCCATCAGGCTCCTTGCGCAGACAGTTAACTAGGCCAATTAGGCCATTCACGTTCACATTCGTGGCGTAAAGCAGAACTGGCACTTTTGTGGGCAGCACTTGTTGTACTTTTGTCAGCCAATTGAATTCGGTATCCGATTCACTAACTTCTATCAAAACCGGTTCGACAATATTTACCTTCATCGGTCTATACTGCAGCAGCAGGATAACTTCTTCGTTGTTGTCCAAAGGCATAGCAGCAATGAGATTAAATTTATCCGGAATAACCAAGCTGTCGATGTTGGATGTGGTGCGCTCTCGAACCACCATGTAGCCACTATCGACCAGAGCTTTGCCCGCGGCTTTAATTGTGGATTCGTTCACCAATCCGCCCAGGCCTCCTACTATGAGGAAGTTATAATTAGTCAATGACGACAGTTTGCCATCTTCCACATGTATGGATGCGTGCAAATCCGGGAATGTCCTCTTCGATAATAGCAAATAGTCGCCGGTTACTTGAGGCAGATCTTCAATAGAATCCAAAAAGTTTGTAATCAGTGTGTCACGGCCGTCAGTGTCCACCTCGACAATCCTCAGTTTTAATGCCGGCGTATTTTCGAGAGCAATTTGCACACATGCACGAACGGCGTCGGATGTTGATAAAACAGGCGAAGGGAAGTGGGACAGGAATTGGTATTTCTCCAAAACGGGAATGCCTGGCGGACGGCGGCGTTGAACTGGACTGGCATGCACACCAATAAGTTCAATGCCACCCGAAACAATACGATTGTTCTTCGCATCTACGTACACGTCGAAGACCCGATTTTCCGGATCCATGTTGGACATCAATTCGAAATGATGCACACCATAGATACGAAGTTTTCGAATTTTTGTTGGCAATAGCAGTGTTCGGGAATCAGTTCCCAAAATCTGAATTTGCAGCATGGCATCCATGAATGTTACCCAATTGTACTTCCACTCGACTTTGCCGTAAAGCCCATCTCCGCGGGCGGCATTCACGGCTCGGAATGCTCCGTTGTAATGATAACCGCGTAGTCTGAGTTCCTTGTAGAAGTCCCTAGTCGACATCATGGGATAGTCGCTTTCTGTAACAATCTCAACTGGCTTGGGAATGGTGGGTCGTTCAATTTCGATAATGCGACCTGTTACCACTAATGTTCCCGATTCTGTAATCTGAACAAATGGTTTTTATCGTATAGCGAATACATCCATAACAATGCTCATGCTATACTTACTTCAAAATTACCAGTACCATAATGGATCATCACGGTTAGTTCGACGTTCTGATTCGGTGACATGTGAGTAGCTCTTAAAAATTTAACATCCTCAAATTCCACGGGGACATCCATATAACTTGGTCCATGATACATGAGACTAAAGGTTTCCCACACATACTGCAGATAGCAGGTGGCCGGTATTAGAATCTTACCATCGATTACGTGACCGCCTATAAACTCCTCGTCATCGCTAGACAAACTGATTGTGTACAGGCGTTCTCCGCTTGACTTGGTTTTCATGTTCTCATACGTTGTGACGAACCATTTTTCACTGTGATCCCAGCGTACTAGCGAGCTGATACCGGGTGTACCTCTTGAAACCGGGAACTCAATCTTTGGATAGAGATTGTAGACGGGGAATGTTAATCCATTGGAGAAGAGCCTGTAACAAACCACAAAAACGGTGAAGTCAAAGTTCGGACACAAATCGGATGATAGATATTAACTTACTTGCCCAGAGCAGTCAAAAAGAAGAGTCCATTGTTTTTATTGCCACGTTGGGTCAGAGGAATGTGGACACCCTTAGGCATGGAACGCTTCAGAATAGCTTGCAGCAAGCCATGTGGAGCTATTTCGATAGTAAGGGCATCCTTGGGGAGAAGTGCAAAGGTTTCTTCAAACAAGACACTGTTTAGCAAGTTGTTCGTGTGGTATTCGGCTGAACATAGGTTGCGGCCTGGTTGGTCCCATTCCGTTTTGGGCACACTGGAGCTAAGCCATTTCGAAGACCTCGGTTTGGGATCGGGTATGATTTCTTTTAGGTACTTCAAGAGATGGGGACCCATGTGAGCAATATAACGTGAATGGTATGCAATGTTCGAGCATGGAACTTCTTTAGCGAAAATATCTTTGGCTTTTAGTTCGGATACAAATTTAGCGACGTCTTCCGATGGGCCGGAAATGGTGCACGAGTCGGCTCCATTGTGACATGCTACCTCGATTGTTGGCGGCAGAATACCAACGATTTTCTTATAACCAATACCCACAGCCGCCATAGAGCCCTTTATTTTTTCAATGTCCAAACTGACCTTGCCGCGATAGTACGATGCCAAGATCATTTGTTCTGGTGTAAATCCACCGTCGGCATAACCACAGCCCAGCTCACCAACAGAATGTCCAATTATGTAGTCCGGTTCCATTCCCAAGGAACGCAACACATCGACCAAGGCAATTTGAATAGCAGCAATGCCAACGAAAGAATGTAGAATATTATCAAAGACAGAGGGGTCGTCGGATGTTAAGATCTCGATCAGATTCAAACCCTTTGAAAGTAAAGCATTGTGACATTTCTCGATGGTATTGCGGAACTTTGGTATAATCATTAGTGACGATCCCATCTGGCTCCACTGCGAACCCATGCCGCTGAAAACCCAAACAATCGGACGCTTAATACCGGAGTAGTGCTGTACATCTCTCACTTCGACAATGGGAGCTTCATAGCCATTCTTACTGAATACGCCGAAGCCACGGAACACCATACCAGGGACATCTTCATTTTGGATATTATGCAGTAGTGAAACGTATTCGGCGTCCAGGGGTCTCTTCAACAGTTCATCGAATATCACATTGACCGATTCTTCCGTCCTACCAGCCCATGTGACCAGACGGGGAATGTCGTCTTCGGGTAGGCCTTTATTAATTTTTTCTTTGTGGAATGCCTTCAAGACAGCATGGGCGTTGGCACCGCCAAATCCAAATGAATTTATGCCAATGTAGGGCTTTTTCAACTCCATCACCTCATTGACGACAACCAAACGCCTTTCAGCCAGGGCGTTTATTTCGGGCTTAACTTCTTCGAAATTAATGTTCGGTGCAATTTTGCCGGTTTCGAATGCAAAGCAAGCCTTTACCAGCGAACATATACCGGAAGCAGATTCCGAGTGGCCGACATTCGATTTGACCGATCCAACTAATAGTGGCTCCTCTCGCTGACTGCATAGGACATTGTCGATGGCACGACATTCCTCGGGGTCGCCGACCACAGTACCGGTGCTGTGCGCTTCTAAATACCCCAGGTCATTGGGTGTAACATCGGTTTCGTTGTAAAACTCTCGCAGCAATTGCTCTTGCACCTTGCCGGAAGGGTAGGTAATGCCCTCGGGCTTGAAGCCATCACAGTTGGTCTTAGAATAGACAACGGTGGCATAAACACGTTTTGCATCACGCCTCTTCTGAATAAAGAGACAATTAATAGCCTCCGAGCGAGTGTAGCCCGAAGCGTTCTTGTCAAATGGTCGGCAATAACCATTGGGAGCCAAAACACCGAGGCTGAAATAAATAAAAATAGTTATGAGAAAAGGAACGTCTTCAATAGTTATGAATATTCTCATTTCGAACTGAAATTACAATGCCGTTTGCTTTCACAAACATGTCAAACAAATAAAACTTACCGAGCAAATTGCAGTGTAACGTATGGATGTAGCAAAAGATTAGCACCTCCTATGATGGCGGCATCTATTTCTCCGCTTCTGATAGCACTAAAGGCACAATCGAGAGCATACATTGAACTCGAACAGGCGGTATCGACCAAAAACGATGGCCCTTGCAACCCCAGACTGTATGAGATGCGGTTGGCCATCATAGCACGACTGCATCCTGTAATACCGAAACCACCCGACGACACCTTTTCGTAGAACCAAGTTTTCTCCGATTCAGAAATGCAAGCTCCGACAAATACACCAGTTCTACTACCGCGTAAGGTTTTCGGGTTAACACCGGCATCGATAACAGCTTCATAAGCGGTTTCAATTAGAATTCTGGTTTGGGGATCCATTGTATGGCCCTGCTTGAAATGTACACCAAAGAAGGTGGCGTCGAACTTGTCCAAGTTATGAATTTTTCCCGATCGTTTTGGAATTTCCGGATTGAAATGGCGCCAACGTCGTTCATCATCATCGACCATGTCAATCTAAAATGGGGCGTAGAAAATATAAGTACCAAACAATTGATATTATGAGCAATAAAACAGGAGATTTGATTATACTATTGAAATTAATTTTGAATGCTTTAAAATAAACGGTTTTCTAACTGTTCAAATGCTATTCTTAACTTTTGAATATTCAGTCACATTTGAATTTTAAATTTTCTATGCCAGGAAGAAAATGCAACTTAAAATCATAATTCCAAATCCGAATTTTGTTCTTCAACAAATCTAGGCGCATATGTAGGATTGTCTCGCACAAATTTCTGAGTAATGCCAATCCAACATTTCCAATATTTCTGCAGAATCTACCACGTTTTACTATTACATAATAATAATAAAAGTGTGTCCATTATTGCAGGTTCTTAAATAGATATTATTATTGGGATAATTTTCTAACATGTATGATATTACCCAACATTTATTTTATGGCTATTTCGTAAAGACTACAAGTGCATGTTCTACATTTTTGTACGTGTCTACAATTTTGTATATATTTAGTAATTATTATTCCGGCCACTATCAACTATCATTGACATTCGAATATATATATATATACGCATACAAATACGAAATAGGGCATTTTCAAAACGAAAACAGTTCTTGTCTTCTTATTTTTTTACAACGCCAATATATTTCACTTCGACGTATAAGGGCAATATGCTAATCAATTGATTTGAATCATGTTGCATATTCCGACTGGTGAGAATTTGCCTTTTATCACTTTTAACACTGGTCAATAATTTAAATTCACACAAATCATTTGAATTTTTTAATACAATTACACCGTAAACTATCCATTTCATGTGAACACAAATAGATTTACGTCATAAATAAATTAGGCTATGGATCTGAATAAATAATGAATGGTTTACACTTTCCGAAACAGTTGTAAACTAAACATTGTCCATTATTTTTTTGGATTTTACACACTAATGTTCTTGTATTTTATTTTTCCATTACATTGCAGACGTCCTTTTCTTATATCCTTTCAGCTTATTTTAACACACACACACACACCTTATTGTAGAGGCAATGTTCGTACTCGGCAACATTATGGCAATTGGGAAACTTTCCAGCCATGCCCGATATAACTATGTCATCTCCATCACTTTCAGGATAAATACGCGTCAATTTCGATTTCGAAATTGCGTTGGATTCATTTCCCAATATTGTTACATTCGACATTTTTATGGCAAAAAATAGGTCCTTCAAGGATCTTTCTCAAATCTTAATGTAAGTTTATTTATTTGCTTTTTGTTAAAACTATATATAGAATAGTCAAAGAACGACAATTTTACGGCGCGTAATCCAAGTAGAACGATCGAATTGCCGACGAAATTGCAATTGACTTCATGGACAGAATGTCAGCACATTTATAATCTCCCTCAAACTCATACGAATTTCCGAAATTTTCGGTTTTCTTTTTCGTTCAAATACATTTCTGTAATGGAAATATATGATAATGAAGTATACGTTAAGTTAAGCACCGATTAAAAGTTAAATAACCCCAAAACAGTATTTGTCTAGTACAGACCCTGGTTGTGATTGAACCCCACCACAACGTACGATACGATAAATAATTATTCCAAGTCGATTTTTATGTAATTTTCGTTAAACAAAGTTTTAACACATCGTCATTAGCATAGGAACACAATTTTATTTAAAATGTAATTATAGGTTGGATGAAAAATTTGGGGCGAAGATCCCAAATACCATTGGTGCGAAAATCCCAAAGCGAAAGTTGATTTCATAAATTTTAAATATTCTTGAATTAATAAAAGGAATTACATTTAAATGTAATGGCATTGTTCTTAAAATATTGAAACTACCATTTTGTATATATCAAATATTTAGCAGACGAATATTGGAATGATTTCGACGTTTACATCGTTGGATGTCAAACTACTCTTCAAAACATATGAAAAACCAAATATTCGACACTTTGGCGACATACAAATATTTAGAAGCACTTTGAAATAAATTCTTATTGTGGAAATAAATGAAATAAATTCTTATTTTTAAATCAATATAAATAATATATTAAATATATATTTTTTGTATATTGAAAAAAATTTTAAAAAATTATTATTATTATAATTACTATTATTATTAAGTCTATAGATTAAAAAACTCCTTACAGACTAAATCACGGTTTGGGAATTTCCGTTGCGGGTATACCCAATTTTTCCAGTATATCACAAAGAAGAAATTTGAAGGTTTTTTATTTGGAAAATATTCTCATATTTCTAAAACAAAATTCAATATATAGATTTTAAAAAAGGGTGGAATTTATCTAATTAAGATTAACCTAAAATGTGGTCTTATTTGGCCCCTTTAAGAATAACTAAAAACAGTAAGAAATAACGACACCACATTGGATATATACAACATGTTATCTAAAAATCTTATTGTAACGCATAATAATCTATTTGTCGAACATATATTGGCTCAATATTAACATTTTAGTATATTAATTGTCATATCTCAACTAGCAGAATCGATCTATCCATGTGTGTGTCCGTTTGATCATTTTAATTTTAATCAAGGTACAGACAACAGTTACACACCAATCGTCTCGAAATTTTTTTATATAGATTCGGTAATGATCGCTTAATATTTATGGGATAAATGGACCAAAATCTTAATTTTTGTCCGTTTTTCAGGTCGCTCTAGAGGCTTCAATTCTTAAACGATCATGGCGAATAATTATGTCAGTTTTCATAATGATCGGTCAATATTTGGTGGGTCAAAAGAAACAAGAATTACAACATTTGCATTGAAAGTATATTTAAGGGGGAATGGCGGGCACGATAACTCAAAAACTAATAATCCAATCGATTCCAAACTTTTACACGTTTCTCTGGGAGTGTATAGCTATCGTATGAACTAGGATATAGCCAATCGGTGAAGATCTTCCTTATTTTTGAACAAAAATCGGCGATTTTCCAAAAATATTTTTTCAAAGGTTCGCCAATTTGTTAATTTTAGAGCGAAGCCAATAATCCTAGTTCATACGAGAGCCAGACATGTGCTCTTTCTAACACCGTTGGATTTTTCGGATTCCGATGTTCCAGAGAGGAGTTATCATGCCCGCCATCAGAAATAAGGACTTTTCTTTAGTTACAAAAACAACAACAAAACAATAACAATTTTTTTTTTTTTGTAAATTATTTTTCTTCTCTTTTAAATCTTCAGATATATATGTGCAAAGTTACAAACCTTAACAAGCATTGGTATTGATTTACCAGCCCATTGAAAATCCCCTATGAGGAGTGTTTGGCCTTCTGTCTCGAATATTTCTTCGTATAACAAGAATTAGGCTACTGTATTGAGCTCATGAATTCATCTTACTGATCAAAACTTTGTAATGTTGTATTGTTGTAATTTGTTATTATGGTTTCCTAAACATTCTAACACTAAATGATTTTTTTATATTTAAAACAAAATCTCCATTTATGAATGAAATATTTGGCGAACATTGCCTATTACCTTCAGTTCACTGACCGAATTCGATACTTTTTGCTTCGATCGATTGTAATACTTTTCCTGGAAGTGTGATTAGTCCGCTATGGCAATGTAAATAAACAAAAACAAACAATGTTTAAACGGCCGAGATAATGAATATTCAGAATAATAAATAAATTATGTAAAGAAACAATGCCATTGACATCGACCACATGATATGCGTACATTTCGAAGGAAGATATTTTCATTTAAATTTTGTAAGCGGAATACTGTCAAAGGCAAATTTCTGAAAAAATTTAAAACATATGACTGCATGAGACTACCTTGTATAATGATGTCATGTAAGTTACTATGGCCTACCTTGAATAATTGTACCATGGTTTAAGATTCCATCTCGTGGAGGGTTAAAGTTTTCAATTCAACTATAGCAATATTGAAAAAATCTTCAATTATTTTTGAATGCCAATAATTGTATATACAAATTTCACTAAACAAGTATTTTATAAGATAACCTCTAACTATAATTTGTTTCTATATTTTACTGTCTTAGTAAAAAATATAATAGTTTGTCTCTACCAAATATAACTAATATTAGAAGTGTTTTTAATACTTTCATGTCATAAATGACGATTTGTCTTCTTTGGTGTGTCAGTCAGCGAACCGTTGAAATTTTATTGATGGTAGTTCACAAATTAAACTTCACCATATACGGAATCATTTAATTTTTATCTAGCATTATACGGAAGCAAGCATGATATCAATTAAAATTGTGTCATTTATATTTTTTTAAGAAAAATAAATATATCATTAAATCTTGAGTTTATACCTAAAGATTTTATGTAAAAAATAACGCATTTCAATGAATGTTATGCAAATGCGTTTCATATATTGAGATGTACCATTTGAAAAAAGGTGAATTTAATAAGGTCGATTTATAGTCAGTAAGCACAGCTGTTGTTACAATCGACGGTCAAAAATGTTGTTATAATTTATAACAAAAGATAAATAAAAATAACTATAAATAACTAGCTGACCGACAAACGTCGCCTTGCCTTAAGGGGAAACACGCACGAGGATTCAGACCTGTTTTGTTAAGTTGGCGTTGATTGAAATGTCAAAGGAATGCCAGAAACAAACTTGATTTTGGACGCCTATCTCCTTAATTCCTTTATTTGACATTTCCATGTTGTCGGATGAATTCAATGGAGTACGTTCAAGTCTTTAAGTTTTAAAAAATAAATTTTTCTAATTTTGTAAAAGTGCGTCTATAGTTATGCAACACCAGCAATTTTGAAAGTGCAGAATTCGGCGAAACCATAAAGAATAAATTAATTATTTTTGTTGAATATTATGTGTTTTTGATCGTTTTATTGTGAACAATAACTTAATGGGTCCATTTTATTTGTCAACTAACATACCAATTGAATTAAGGGTGCGTCTATAGTTATGATACGCAGTGTATTTTGATTCCGGTACTGAATACTTACAATTTGATATTTATGACCGACTCTTGTAGCTGTAGAAAATTTACCCATGTATCATGAAATTTTTGCGCAATTCTTTTTTATTATTTCAAACTTAGTTTCGCCTTCTAAAATTTCTGTGGATAATTTTTTGGTAATAATTTAAGTAAATGGCATGCGGGTTAACCTACATTATGACAATTTTTTTGCGAGCACATTTATGATTTTTGGTACTTAGGTTAAGAAAATATGCACATTCTAAATATGTTCACGTTCTCAAATTAGGATGTTGCGCACAACATTTAAATCTTGTACATCTTTTGTTGTAATTCGCGAATTTCTTAACAAATAGTTAAACGTACACTACAAATTTGAAATCGGATGAAAAAAATGAATGAACGCTATTTTTGAGTCTCCTCCGTTTTTAATATGAATCCAGAGCCACAATAATAATCCAGAGTGATTAATTTGGAAGATGTTGGTAAATTTATCACCAACCAAAATAAAACAAGTTAACACGATGTTAAGTTGAGCCCGGCCGAACTTTTTATACCCTCCATTATGACGATGACATTCAAAATATGTAAGATTAATGGGGGGTCGAGGGAAAAATTCATTTTATGATAGGACCTTGAATATACCGAAAAATATGTGTGAAAAACATGATTACCTTAGCGTTTTATGGGGCTATACCAAAACATAATTTTGGTTAGTGGAATATGGCAGTCAATGAGAATACAAATACAGCCAATTTGATTCAAAAACTTCTCCAATATACCGAATATTGTAGAGTACCGTTATATGAGGGCTGCCCGAAAACTTGGGTCAAGATTGGTGCGGTAATTTTTGGTGCGGACATTTACTATACCATGAGAACCCAAAATACTAAAGTACAGCCAATCCGGTGGAAAATGTGTTCAAATTCCCTAAAATACCGAATATTGGGGATTCTGTTATATGAGAGCTACACAAAAACGTTGACCGATATATCCCATTCACAATACCAAACATCTTACGCGTACTAGCAATGCCTGTGCAAAATTTCAGAGCTCTATCTTAAATATTGCGATCTCTATCGTGATTTCAACAGACAGAAGGACAGACATAATTCGACATAGAATTTTATTATGATAAGGAATATATAAGCAATATTGCAATTTCTTTTATATTCCACTAGCGGGACCCGTGGCGCTTCGCTGCCCCTGCTGGTATTTTAATATGCTCGAATTAACACTACAAAAAAGTGTGAAATGTCCA